AAGAACGCGAACAAGAGAAAAACTGAAAATATGTCCAAGGGGGACAACAAAAAGCAACTAAATTGTTTAGAGTACTCTTCAGAAGCGCAATATTTTGTACGCATAAGTGGCTAACCACTTAGCGAGTTAGTGCAAATGCCGTAAATATAATTGGTCGTACTAATCCTGTTTTTCTACGGTAAAAAACGTTTCGAATAGACGTTCTGATTTTACGAAGCACGAAACAAACACAATAAACACGTTAGATACAGTCTGGCTGTTTTGTAAAGCACTAAGGCACTTAAATCTGCACGTAATCTGTAAGAAAATGCAGACAAATATTGCTTTTGACATGAAGATTAACACTAACATACGTTTCAGTGTGGGCAGTAGTTACCGTGTCGGGCTTGTCATGTACAATGCGTCTAGAAGTCGCAGGTTCAAGTCTCACTCGCACACTTTTAAAAAATTTTTTTCTTCTTTTTTTTTGTCGCAGTGCTCGTATTTAGCCATCTTTACAGTGTTGTGATGGCGTAGTGGTTAGTGCATCAGCCTCTCATGCAAGATATCATGGCTCGAATCCCGGTGCCGCGCAGTTCCCAACCAGATTTTTCAAAAATTCTGCGTGGTGATGGAACTGCATTAAGAGGCCTGGGCTGCGACCTCACGGTGACCAACTGCCGGTAACGCATTCCCTCAACAGAGAAGAATTGGCCACCCTGGTGCATTACGTGGCCACTACCTCCTACAGGCGTACGTCAATTAACTCACAGCCCTCAGTCCCCAGCAGCTACGAAGCAACCGAGCACCGCGGCAGTCAGATCTGCAATGCAGCAGAGGGTGCTAAGAATCTCTGGGTCCAGACAGGCCACCATTGGAACCAGAACTTGGCAACGTTTAACGCAAGAACTTTATCTAGTGAGGCAAGTCTAGCTGTACTATTCGAAGAGCTAGAGGGTGTTAAATGGGATGTAATAGGGCTCAGTGAGGTTAGCAGGACAGATGAGGCCTATACGGTGCTACATAATGGGCACGTCCTTTGCTATCAGGGCTTGGCTGGCAGAAGAAAACTTGGTGTGGGGTTCCTTATCCACAGAAATGTGGCTGGCAACACAAAGGAATAAAATAGCATTATTGAAAGGGTGGTAGGTATTATAATTAAACTCAATTAGAGATTCAAGATATAAGGTGATACAGGCTTACGTGGATACATCCAGCCATGATGACGCGTCGGTTGAAAGCTCTATGAAAATGTGAATTGACAATGAGTAATGTAAAAAAACACAGTATACTATACTGATGGGAGACTTCAATGCAAAGGTACGGAAGAAGCAGGCTGAAGACCAGGTAGAAGAAGATTATGGCATCGGTACTAGAAATGCCACAGGGGGTCTACTAGTAAAATTCGCAAAACGCGACAATTTGCAGATTTTGAATATCTTCTACTGAAAACAAGGGAACCGAAAGTGGACATGGAGGAGCTCTCATGGCGAAGATAAGAACGAAATAACTTTACACTGAGTGCACACCCAGGCATTATGCAGGATGTGGAAGTGCTTGGCGCCCCGCCGCGGTGGTCTAGTGGCTAAGGTACACGGCTGCTGATTCGCAGGTCGCGGGATCAAATCCCGGCTGCAGCGGCTGCATTTCCGATGGAGGCAATAATGTCATAGGCCCAGTTTCAGATTTGGGTGCCGTTAAAGAACCCCAGGTGGTCGAAATTTTGGAGCCCTCCACTGCGGCGTCTCTCATAATCATGTAGTGGTTTTGGCACGTTAAGCCCAAGAAATCAATCAATCATCAATGGAAGTGCTTGGCAAGGTATGATGCAGTGACCATAGAATGGTACGGTCTCGAATTCGCCTAGACTTGAAGAAAGAACGACAGAAACTGATATGCAAGAAGCTAATCAATGAGCCAGTAGTACTGAGAGGGAAAGTACAGGAATTCAGAGTCTCGCTTCAGAACAGGTACTCAGCTCTTATTGAGGAAACCAGCCTTAGCGCTGTCGCAATGAATGATAATTTGACGAGTATTAGACAGTTATAGTCTACTGTTAGCGTGATAGCGGAGGTTAAGGGAACGACGTTACCGTGCAGCAAATGTAAGTTGGGACAGTGTCGTATAGTTTGGCGGGATAGCGTTAACGTGCCCCAGCTCGGATGGTGGCGCCACCTATCAGATGGTTAATAAGGTAAAGACAGTGAAAAGTAAAAGAAAACGAGAATGTTTGCCTATGCCACCGCGTGAAGCATTGTTACAAGTTTATTTTCATAATAAAAGCAAATAAATATGAACCACGCACAAAACGCGAAAAAAATTATGTTGCTGATTTGTTTACATCAATCTTGTAGTTAGACCTAGATGAGTTCGAAAAGGGAAGCTATCTCAAAAATTACGCCATCTTATCTGTTATACTCGGTCAACAAAGCTAACTGAAGGCAAGCGAAGCCAATTTAAACAGTCTTTTGCTGCGAACAAGGTAAATCTTTCAACAACTACGCCAAAATCACTTCGAAGCAGGCGTCCGAGAGCGCCACCATGTTTACGTACACTACGTACCCTTACGCTACTACGGTAAGCTTAAATCTGAAAAATAGCGTGCGTATGGTAAGCGGTACGGGTAACGTACGTATCTACGTTAGTTACAGTAGTTAGACTGGACACTGACAAGCTGTCCCAGTAGATGAACAATTTCATCTAGAAATGTCAAAGCATGCAAGCCTCAACTATAACAGACAAAATAGAGTTGGTAGAGCTTTTGAAGTTGATTAATAAGCGTAAGGTATCCGATGTAAGACGGTATAACATGGAGAGAATTGAACACGCTCTAAAAAAGGGAGGAAGCATCGGAGCAGTAAAGGGAAACTTGGCATAGGCAAAAATCGAATGTATGCACTAATAGACAAGGAAGGCAGAATAACTACCAATATGCATAGGATAGTTCAAACAGCAGAGGAGTTTTACAGAAATCTGTACAGTAGCCGGAACACCCATGGCCTATTATAAGAACTAGCAGTACCCCAGATGGCATCCCACCAGTAATGATAGAAAAAGTCAGAAAAGCCTTGGGGGAATGCAAAAAGGCAAAGCTTCTGGTTAGGATCAGGTAACATCAGATCTGCTGAAAGATGGAGGACAGATTGAGTTGGAAAAACAAGCCACCCTGTTTATGAGGTGTCTCCTCACGGGAACACCACCAGAATCTTGGAAGAATGCTAACACCATCTTAATACACAAGAAAAGAGATGACAAGGACTTGAAGAATTAAAGGCTGATCAGCTCGCTCTGTGTCGTATACAAGCTACTTACAAAGGTATTTGCTAATAGAACTAGACAACATTGAAATACAACGAACCAAAGGAACAAGCAGGATTTCGAACAGGCTACTCAATCAGGTAATAGAGAAGAGCTCAGAATATAGCCAGCCACTGTACATAGCCTTCATAGATTACGAGAAGGCGTTTGCTCAGTAGAATTATCAGAAGTCATGCACACACTCCAGAGTCAGGGCGTCGACGAAGCATATATAAACATCTTGAAAGAAATCTGCAGAGGATCAACTGCTACCTTTGTGCTTTATAAAAAAGCAATAGAATACCAATCAAGAAGAGTGTAAGGCAGGGGGATAGAATTCCCCAATGCTATTTACCACATGCTTACGGGAGGTTTTCCGAGGCCTAGAATGGGAAAAATTAGGGTTAAGAGTTGATGGAGAGTACCTTATATTGGGTGCTTTGTGGATGACAATGCACTGCTGAGTAACTCAGGGGACGAATCGCAATTAATGATTACGAAGTTAGACAAGGAGAGCAGAAAGGTAGGTTTTAAAATTTATCAGCAGAAAACGAAAGTATATACAACCTCGGAAGAGAGCAGCGCTTCGAGATACGTAATAGTACACTTCAAGTTGTAAAAGACTATGTCTACTTAGGGTAGGTAATAACCGTGGAGCCGAACCACGAAATTGAAGTAACTAGAAGAATAAGAATGTGATGGAGCACATTTGGCAAGTACTCTCAAATCATGACAATAGATTGCCACTATTCTTCAAGAGAAGGTATATAACAGCTGCATCTTGCCGGTACTTAGCTACGGAGCAGAAACCTGGAGACACAAAGAGGGTTCAGCTCAAGTTGAGCATGACGCAGCGAGCAATAGAAAAAAATGATAGGCGTAACCTTAAGAAACAAGAAGAGAGCAAGTGGATCAGGGTACAAACCGGGGTTTAGGATATCATAGTTGAAATCAAGAAGAGGAAATGGACAGGGCCAGGCATGTAGTGCGTAGACAGGATAACTGCTGGTCATTAGGGTAATTAACTGGATTCCCAGAGAAGGCAAGCAGGTTAGGGGGAGACAGAAGGTTAGGTGGGCAGATGAGAATAGGAAGTTTGCGGGTGTAAAATGACAGCAGCAAGCACAGGACCAAGTTGACTGGCGGAACATGGGAGAGGCCTTGTCCTGCAGTGGACGTAGTCAGGCTGATAATGATGATGATGATGATGGCATTGTGCGTGCTATGAAATCCATCAAAAACAATAAAAAGGCCCAACTTCAGCTTTTTTTTCTGTGGGTCGACTGCAACTCTCTCGGTGGGGTTATGGTATTCTGCTTTGGGCAGTGTTACATTACTCTATTGAGGGGGGGGGTGCTTTCGCCCATTCTGGGGGAGTCACTCTACTCTGGCTTACAAGGAGGTGATTTACTTTGAAAAAGAGAGTGAAATATGGGACAAGAAAGTACTCTCTCAAAGAGAGTGCCCAGCGCTCTCTTAGTTATTAGAGTTTGTGAATAAAGTGGCTTTCAAAAGTTTTTAGTTGTTTCAAGAGATGAAGAACAAAATGGGAAATAAAAGAAAATGTGCTTTTGCATCATGTTTGGCCAAAAACTCGGTAGGGCAAGGGTGGCATGCAAAAAACTCTCTTTTTTGGCTTGTAAGATTAATAGATACCCAGATGTGTGCAGGCATTAGCTGTGCAGCGTGAGCCCAGTAGCCACATGTGGACTTGGCCATTCTAGGTCTGGCCTACCACTTTGTGGGCAACTGTGTGTCATCGTTCAGTGCCTTTGTCAAGCGCCACCGTGATGTCAATGGCCCGCCGTCTTCCTTTCTTCCTTCTGGGCCTTCCAGCCACTGGCTGGGGACGGGGGCATGAGTGCCAGTGAGCGCATTCACCAGGAAATGTGATCGGTGCGGCTTGGTGGGTGTCCAACTCGACTGAAAGGTTCGTCACTTCAAAAGCCGCTCTGCTATGCTCTCGCAAAGCTGAGCTTGATTACTTGCAGACTCTGTGAAACGTGATTGGTTTGTGCCAAATAGGAATCTGCAAGTGTTCATAGAAATATTGCAGAAAGATGTTTGGAAAGGAAACTGAATTAGACTTAACCGTGATGAGTTGCACTGAGTGAGTGCACGGTCAGAAAAATTACAAAACATATAGGCAGCATGTTAAAAATTGGCTCATTTAAGCACAATGCTTCTTCACCAATCATGCAGAATAATCACGCAGTAGATGAAATTCTGGCATGCGGCCCAGTGTTCTACTTGCTTTGGGGAACATATGTCAATTTCCAAGGATAGCGCTATTTGTTGAGGCATTTCTATAAAGCCTTCAGCGGAATCGCATTCAGTACATCTGCTTGTTATTGTATCCTGACAATGTGCCACAATGAATTTGGGTTGGCTCATTGCAATCTGCTAGCAGTGAGAAAAAAAGTGGCATGTTTGTGCTCATTATTCCTTTTTACACATTTTTTGTATGAATTTTCCAAATTTGGTGCAGTTGTGGCTTTCTTGCCGCATGAAGGGTGTTTGTATGGAAAATATGTTGTTGAAAGAAAAGCGGAAGAAAACCTGTTGGCACGAGACGCAAGTGTGCAGCTTGTAAGACATGTGGGTCACAGATGGGTTGGTGTCTGTGATGTATGAAAACCTTTTTCTACTCTGCTATACTATTGAAGACACCATTTATTCCGCAACTGGCTGCACTTCAGATAGGATAGTTACACCGTTTAGAGTCTGATCCAAGAATTCAACATGTCACTCAATTTTGCTCATGCATTTCGTGCCGCTTGGTGCCCATACACTGTGAAAGCATGTCCTCCATTTGAGACTGCTTGCAGGTGAACAGTTGGGTGCTGCCATGTAAGATCACTCGGGTCATCGCTTGTACCAAACAGTCTTCATTTGTCGCGGTGTTTGTGTGCATGTCTAGTTGAGTACCCAGGTGTGCAGCAATGGCTGCACGTAACCTGTAGCAGAGGCTGGCGTTGCAGCTGCCTTGGGAAGTGGTAGACTAAAGGAAACTTCAATTGGCCTTTTCTTTCTGTTCTTGCAGGACATTTCATTCGCCGGTCACCGTGGTTCACGCCACTCTCTTATCAGGGACTGTGGAATCCGAAGGAGCCTAACAACGAGCTGAACGACTACCATGATCGATGAACTGTTTTCTATTGTGAACACCATCATATGGACACCAGGGGAAGGAAAGTGAAGCCTAGTGTGACCGAATATCAAATGGCGAGATGGGCAGGTGGAGTGAGTCGACCATAGAGGCAGTCCGGGCCGACTGGAAATCGTCGACAGGGAGGCCTTTTTCCTGCCATGAACCCAGTGAATGGGTTGACAATGTCATTGAGAGTGTGCTGTATGTCATTATGCAGCAGCTGCAAGGAGTGGTTTAATGAGTCATTTGTATGTGTGACACTTGAGTTTCACAATCACTTAGATGCTAGAGGCACCGTGTGATATCAATGCTTGTTAAAAAAACATGTGGCAGACACTACACGGGGCCCCTCATTACAACGTGCCGCATAGTCACATAAGGCTTTGGCTAGTGAAATCTCAGCAATTATTATTTAACAAACACAAAGTTGTCTTCAGTTTTTTTTTGTTTATAGGCTGGGCTGTCTTGAATATGATTTTGTTGGAAAAGCGATGTTTTAGTGCTGCAACGTTTCCAGTTCGACAATTTCTTTTCACTTCAAGATTTCATCTTTACCTGAAGTCTGTCAATTTTTTATTGCCTACTGTGTGTATTTCTGCTAGTTTGAAACATTTTGGTACATGTTTCAAACTAGCTCTTCTGTGCACTTGTGTCTGTTCGGTCGATGATACTTACATATGCTTGTTGAGTATGTGATCCTGCTTTGAATGTAACAATGCAATGAAAGATATTTCGTAAACTTAACACTGACTCTTACATCGGTGTAATTTTACTTATTTTCAACCCCTTGGCTAAAATAAGAGTAATTTATGGTATGATTCCTGCAGCTGCCAAGCAAACATCAGTTTGGTGTAGACGAAATTCGTCAATCTGCTCATTGCATGTGCTAACATAACTTGTGCTATTTAGGCTTGCATTTCATGCGGTTTGTTTCACTGGGCACGTACCACATTTATGTTATTTAAATCACACTTTTTTATGATTGTGATGCCCGAATGGAGGGGGTTGATTCAGATTTAAAAAGTGTAAATTGACTTCACCCCTTTTTACTTTCACGACAGCAACATTACGGTGGGAACAAGATAAAACATAAATCATTTTATTTGGCTTATATTAAAAAGAAAAAGTTGGTGCAGACAGTGAGCCGACTGCTTGTGTCTGGCACTCCGTCGCTCACTGACTGTAGTCTGATGCACCGCTTGAGGCAACAATCTCGCTATGCCATAGTAGGTTGCCTTCCATCCTGTCAAAACCTTTTGTAATTACATTCATTTTAAATTACTTGGCCACATCATCACCTTTGACCTGCTTTCATGCATCTGAAATCCACCCTGCGATGGTTGGCAGGGACGCTTTCTGCAGCTTGCGCATCGGCATCTCGTTCTGGTTGAGGATGTGCACCGACTGTATGTTGTTCTGTCGAAGGTTACTTTTAAAAGTTTTGTTGGCTGCAACGTTTAGCTGTTGCAGCACAGGCATTGTGCCATCTTGAATCACGACCAAGTCACATTTGCTGCTTTGAAACTTGACGTTAACTCTGGTGTAAGATTGCCTTGAAATGTTTTCAACAAAAGCTTCGACAGCGTGCCAACAGGTTCATCGAGCAATGCTCCCAGGTGGTGCTGCCACACGACTCAAAATTGAGGCTGGCATCAGCTCCATTGTCATTACCATTTAACTTTGACTCTACTATAGCATATTTAAAAAAATCATTTCCTGGCATTTTTTTTTTCTGAAAATGATGTCGTGCCTCGCCATGGTGGTCTAGTGGCTAAGGTACGGCTGCGACCCACAGGTCGCGGGATTGAATCCCGGCTGCGGCGGCTGCATTTTTGATGCGGGCAAAAATGCTGTAGGCCCGTGTGCTCAGATTTGGGTGAATGTTAAAGAACCCCAGGTGGTCGAAGTTTTCAGAGTCCTCCACTACGGCGTCTCTCATATCATATGGTGGTTTTGGGATGTTAAACCCCACATATCAATCAAGATGATGTCGTGGTGCCTGAGCTGTCGAACCACCTGAAAACCTGGGGAAAAAATAAAATAAAAATCTGGCTCAACGACGGATTGACAAAATGCGCTCGGTGGACTTGCTTGAGTGCTCTTTTTGCTGAAAAGGGCTGCTCAGGTTTGTGTGTATTTTCTCACATTTGTGTAAAAAAAGAGGTGGGTGGGGGTGGAACGGTGCTTAGAATAGAGAAAATATTGTATTTGCGACCCAGTCTGCATATTTGTTGAGTGGCTCCTGTGCCTGTCTGTCAAATGGCTGCAGTATTTCTACGAGTGAAAAACTGGCAAAAGAAGAAGGCTGGACCACTGGCAAAAATAAAGCAAACATGGCCCCCACTATTTACTACTCGGTGCATGATTTGCCTATTTGTGTTATACTAGAATCCTGCTGTTACGTTGCCGGGCGCAGCATTTTCCTGGCTGTTACATTGTTTTCAGCTGGTCCCTGGCTAGCTGCCTGGGATTCCAGTGCATTGGGAATGCCGCTGTTACGTTGCGACTATGGGACGATTCCTGCCCTGTACGTTCGAACTGGCCATCTCAGACGGCCCAGGCAATCCCGCTGACTTTTCGCGTGGCCTTTCCTGATGAATGTGCAAAGTCGAGCCATTTATGCTCGCTGTTCCAGCCGTATACAATGCCGTGGACGGCCAAAATGACTAAAGGTGCCAGTGCTGGTCTCAAATAGAACTTGGCAACATTTGGCATTAAATGACAATGTGTCCGTATCGTGTCTTTTATGAGTCTGTGCTTTAACTCGAACCTATCGTCGCTGAGACTCAACATACACACAACTTGGAATCCCCTAGCTACAACCTGGTGACGACTTAGAACAAACTGATGACCTAACTAAGGCATAGAAACAATCCAGAATAGTCTGCATAATCGTCCAGTTTTGCTGTTTCAAGGCTACCACTTCACAGTGCGAGCTTTGCTGTATTTTTCTTTTTCGAAACCACACTCAAGACTGCTGCCACCGTAACGAACACAATGGCTTTTCTGAATTGCCGTGGTACGATTTCCTAGGGTAAAAAAAATGTTGTAAATAATTTAATTCATTTTATTTAGTATGCAAGTTGCACAGGATTAATTTGCAGGGTCGCTTGGTACGAAGAAGTAATGGTGGTGATGCATGACCTATCGTGTCAGACACCATCGCATTGTAACCAAACTAAGAAAAGAACAAAAGCAGTAGTAGAATGGCCTCATTGTAGCTCACAGTTGCATTTCTCTCTAGAACGAAATTTGTCAATCACAGCTCACTCGCGCATGCACGTATATGCATGCTTACTGTATCTCAAAAAACAAAAGGCTTAATCATTTCTGTAGGCCGATTATATCTCCCATTGCTGTCTTCTTTTTTAATGCTTAACCAAATAAAAGTGAGCAGTTCATCAGAGAAAGAAAAAATGCGAAAATATTTACTGTAGTTACAAGTCTGGGAAAAGGCTTGAGCTTTTTGATGCTTTAATTTTTCCTGCTAAACAAACTGCAATGCGCTGCCACGCGACATCGAAATTTTGGAGGTGGATCTGCTCTAGCACGGGAACCTGCGATTATTCTTTTGTTATGTAGACTTGATTTTCTTTACCTCCTCATTTTTAATGTTGCATGCAGTACTGCTGGGTGCACGAGACAGTGTCACTACAAAGAGATGTGTCCAGGAGGCGCGGCGCGTCTTGTGAATATCTTACGCCATTTCATTTTCTTTTTTATCACATAGGTATGGAGTACGTATGATGTGATCATGTCGCACACACTTTGAAAACCAGTGCAAATTACCCTATGAGCATGAAGCAAAATATTCAAGACGAGCGCAATGGCTAACAAAAACCACTAATGCAAAAGCAAAGAACAAAAAAAGGAAGGAAAAGTGAAGTGGTAGTCGCATGTTCATTTCTGATTTGCTTTAGTGTAGTCATTCGCGATCCGAGCTAGCTGGCACGAAAAGGCTTGAACCAAAAAATAACACGTCACATTGCTTATTTATTTGGAAAATAGTTGATCAGAATACCGGTTCACCTTTTTTAAAGGTCAATTGCATTCTGGCAAGTGTTACCTGCTAGGCATTCATTCAATCGTGATATGACAAAGAAAGGAAGTTGGGATATAACTTTGGCCCACCTGTTGCTCTCTAACGTCCACCCGAGTGCCAGTACAAGGCTGTTCTTGCAGTTGCAACCATTTAAATGAGGCCGCCGGGACTGTAAAAGAGGGAAACGGTGTCCTCGAGCTTAACAGTTGAAAACTTGAGCCCCTATAAGCTATCACGGCAGGCATATTGCACAAAGATGCCTTAAAGTTACACAAATATAACTATTTTAAGCTGAGCGGTGATTTTCCAATGGCGTTTGTGGGCAGAAATGGCGCCGTTCATTCATGGTCTCAAGCCGCGCATATATAAATGTGAGCGCAAATCGCCTAAGAACGCTTCAGCGCTATAGAGCCTCGAATTAGATTTGGTGACCTCGCCAAATCTCGGATGGCGCTTATCCAAGAAAGTAGATAGGCATTTCACTTGATTTTGTATACGCTTTCAGGAGGTGTCGTGGATATTTTTTTTGTTTAAATTTTTTGGTTAATTTGGTATTGTAATTGGTAAGTGGTATTGCATGGCACGAAGCATAGAGCGAAAAAATAAAGAAGCATTATGGCAGCTTCGCACTAGCAATACCAGGCCCGAAGGAAAAACTCAGCTGGGTGGCCTTTTTATTTCTTTGCTTCTTTCTTTCTGTCTCTTTTTTGTTTTCTTGTATAAGTTTTTGTTTTTTTCTTCTTTCTTCCCTTTCTCTCTTTCTATCTACTTTGCTCGTGCTCCTTCATTTTTTCGTTCTTAGTTTGTGGTGTTTCTTGCCGAAAAAGTCATCCTTTGTGACTCGCATATTGCTCATGATGTCCACATGAAAGCACTTGGAAAAA